CCCCCCCCCCCCCCCCCCCCACAGACCCGTGCTGGAACAAAGGCACGTTAAACGTATACCGTTTAGGTGGGCGCCCGATAACGCGCTGCCTAGGCGAAGGACCGCACTGGCCTGATAACCGCCGTGCACAATACCCCCCGTGTAGGCACGATAACGCCACACAAGCCCCAGGAAACGCCGGCCTGATAACGCCGCACGCCCAAGGCTCGACGCCCTACGACAAGGAACAAGCGTCAACACAAGAACCCCCCCCCCCAACTCTGAAGCCTGCGAAGACTTGGGCCTGTATTTCGAAGATACCCTACTCCAACAACCGGGAATATGTCGCTCGGCGCGACCGCTATCCAGACGCGCCGAGTTTGTGCGAGATCGCATTCGCGAGATTTCTGCGAGGGCGCTACTCCACAGCATGGTTCTCGGCATTGAAACAATCAAACAACACCGTCACATCGATGGTATTTGGCAGCTACTCGTGTCATGGGAGTCCCTTGAGAGCTTGGCAGCTCAAGTTCATGTGCCCGTTGCTGCCTACGTCCAGACCTGCGAAGACGAAGCATTTCAAGCGGCGTTCGCAGCTCTCGGCCAGTGACCTGCAGCCGGACACTGAGTCAGTGGCCAAGTTGAAGCTCCAGCGTATCCTTAGGGGGGCAGTGTGGTGATTATTCAGGATTACTCTGGCTCTTGTTGCCTGCAGCGATTACTCGAAGTTTACTCTGGTAGTTTTGTTGGTTAGCGCCAACCATTAGATGCAGCCTCTGTAGAGCTAGGTTGTAGAGCAAAGAGCTTCTGCTTCATGCAGTCTCTCACTTTGCATTTTAACTTGCAATCAACAAGCACCTCAAGCAACAAGCAGCGGAAATCGACACAGGGAGATCAGTTACGGGATATGTGCTCCAACTGAATGGCTACAGCTTCGGCTTCTAGAGCAAGAAGCAGGATCGTATCACGGATGATACGTGTAAGTCGGAACTGGTTGCGGCCAATAAGAGCGTCGAGGACCTACTGTGGGCGCAGAATCTGTTCACGGAGATAGGCATGAAGCCAATGGTCCCGGAGCTGCATTGTGATAATCAGAGCACGCTAAAAGTGTGTGAGCACGTCGGAAACTATGACGGTGTGAAGCGGCTAGCAAAGATGAGTCTCAAAATTGCTGAGCTTGTCGAGGCTAAAAGAATTGTCGCTGAACTAGTTCCTACGGCAGACAACATGGTAGACATGTTTACCAAGGAGCTCGGACCACAGCGATTTGAAAGGCTGAGGGAGCTGCTTGGAGTCGAGGACGTAGTTGAGGCGGTTGCACATGCATGCCTGCCAGCTCGGCATAATCGAGTTGGAGGCCAGGATATGAGTTCCGGGGGAGAATGAGAGTTAGAGATCGGACGCGGTCGTACTCTACTCTCGCGTAGTCACTCATGTCCTGGCCGTGTGCTAGCTGGATGCTAGGAGTCGGCTTACAAGCCTGATTGATGGGTTGTATGGTCAAAGGGGTTTTTAGGCTCATGTTTTCCTCCTCGTGTACGGCACGTATAGGAGTCATGCGTTGTAGGCATGTGTTGAATGAATCACTCTGAGTTTTACTCTACAATCGACAAGTGTCTTCCTGTCTCTTTGCCACTCACTCGCAGCGCTAAAGCTGCTACGTACAACTAACGAATCTTGACTCGACAAATTTGAAAATGAACTGGACCAGCCTCCATCCATCTTGAGAAGTCTAAAACACTTGGTCAATCGACATCACTTACTGTAAATTGACCTAAGACATGGCGGACCCGAATTAATCCTGTTTGGGCTGGGCTATCAGCACTTCGTCGCTTCTTATCCCAGTATAAAATATTCAGATACGATTTTTTTTACCGTTAGATACGCTTTATATCGTTAGATACGTTTTTTTGCGGCGGCGGCGGAATTCCTGTGCCATTCTTCATGACGAAAACTTCTCCAGATAGCGTGCATGCTCTTAACCCTTCTAGCCCCAGACCTTATTCTGTATCTACAGAATCAGCATTAGACTTAGTTAAAGTATACTTCAAAACCTGTCAAAGATTTGCTGTTGGAAGCCCTTTCGCATCTTGCGGTCAAGCGCTGGGTACATTGTGCACAGAACAGCTACGAAAGTGAACAAAACATGCTCAATGTATCCACCATATGCCGAAATGGCGAGCTTCTATTGGTCGTGGCGAGCGTAGAGCACGCTCAAAACCTGCTACATGGTAATACCTTGCAAGGCTGCTAAGGCAGCATACTTCGGCTCCAGCCACCCATCTTCGGCACGTCGCGATAAACGCGGAGGAAGAAATCTTCCCGTCCTAACTGACGTAGTGAGGTGGAACTGGGCGAATTCTTCCTTGTGCTTGACATTAGCGCATCATTAGATTTCTTTAGCCCACCTAACAAGCTTGTTACGATTTTCTCTCTGACAACACCAGGGAGCTTGCATGCTCAATAGCCCGTAATGACACGCACTACACACAGTTCCTCTTGTACGAAACAGGACAATATATGATATTCATGCCAACGTCTACTTCTTCCTCTACATGCGCACGCTCTTCAATGTTCGCGCCAGCCGTGGGTCATCTTCGCCATTTTGGCAGCCTCCGCTTTGCTCTGTAGCCTCTGGCACTGCCGCTTCATTCCTGCCGCTTTTATCGGTAGCCTCCGTCGTAGCCTCTGTCCCTTCTTCTGTAATCTTTGGTGTAACCTCATCACGCGGAGAGCTTCTTCTGTAGTATCCGCCGTAGCATCTACCGCTTCTTCTGTAGTCTCCGGTGTAGCCACACCATGAGGAGCGCTTCTTCTGTAGCCTCTTGAGTAGCCACTGCATCAGCTACAATATAGCGGTAGACTCGGCTGTAGCCGGCTTCGTAGGAACCGATGAGATTGTACGCTGACTCCGCAATCGATCTGCCAATCGGGCCACACGCGAGAGCTCATAGCGTCGTCTGGGTCGGATCACCAGGTCTGGTAATCAACATCACAACGTAGAATCAATATACCACTAGTACAATGTTACAGAGCAAAGTACACGCTCTCGCTTACCCTTAGATCACAATGGCGCAACTAACAGTGCCGCGGCGTCTTTGGGCGGTCCTCTTCGGCCGATAACAATGAACAAGCCGGCTGTCACCCACCAGCATCCTAAGTGTCTCCATATTTTTTTTCGGGAGGCTCATCAACGTTACTAGTAACTTATGCCAATTTCTAATGGTTAGAAAGCCCTTTACTTAGGTAGGCCATTTCAAACTGCCTTTAATCAGTTTGATTTGAATCAAATAACAAACTGACCCATCCATAAACGTCGTTGCGAGGGGTCTTCGAAGCTCCCTTAAGTTCCGCCGACAGGTAGGTCGTGTTCAACTGGCCCATATCAATAGTGCCTGTTTCAGGGCTTGCCTGGAGAGGTTTCCATAACCTGCCTCGCATAACCTTATTCATGCGCTCCACTCTATTGTCCATCTTCTTATTACGATTGTCTTACAGAAGCGGTGCCATAGTTTCTGACTACCCGGTACATTATATTTTAAATCCTCTCTAGCTCCTAATAATTTATCAATGAGAACTGCGAATCTCCGGGCCTCATGGCCCGGGTCCCGTTATTAATAAAATAAGTACCTAACAGTAGGTGCTTTTGTAAGCGATTTTTGCCCCGTGAGTTGTTGTTCAAGCTGTCAATATTGTATATTGTAGCGTTTCTCCGATATATCTTACGCACTGTATCATTTTTTTTAACTATGATGTTGTAGTGACACATTAACGATGTGGCGCAAACAGTGGGATGACGTATCTAGCCAGTACTACCTCATTTGACATTCGGCAATCCAAGAGGCGCAGTCATGGAGCGGGATGTGTGGTACAGGTTTGCAGACATGTCCGTTTCTCTGAACAATGAAGTTGCTAATATTGGTGACTTTCGAGAAACGTTGCTTGCCGCATGTCCACAATCCTGGGAGATGTCCGTCCAAGCCAAGTAAAAATCTACGCGTCTCCGGAGGCTGACGTCAGGGAAGACCAACCTCTTGACTATCTGGTGAAGGTCAACGGCTATGGGATGAGCGAGCATTACCCGCTCGTCGTGAGGATAGCACCTACAGGCTTCCCGGGGGATTCTACTGGTTTGGCGCGCGAACTGCGTCACATGCTGAAGCGCGAGCAGTTGCTGGAGGGAGTCTACGATTCGTTCCGGAAAACCCCCATTACTCTCTTGGCATCTCCAAGAGTTTCGGGGAAGACGACGTTACTAAGATCATTTGCTCGCCGATACCCTGGTGTCAATTGCATCTACGTATCGTTTCTTCACGATTCGCCAGCGACCGAGCTGCTGTTGACGTGTGGGATCGACTTCGTTCAGAGGGTATCACGTCTCAGTGTTGAGGAAACCCATGTTATCATGATCGATGATGCCCAAGCTCAGTACGACGACAAAGCCTTCTGGGATTTGTTTGCCTGCACCACCATTTCGTGGTTGCCAGACAACGCCCGCTTTATTATCTCGGCAACGTACGCAATGGAGAGTTTGGTACGACTTGGATCGGTCCATATATTTGGCCCAAGCAATTTCATGCTGAGTGACGAAGAAGCACGAGCGTTTTTGGAGTCGCCAACTCATGGATTGCCTATGAAAATGAGGGTCAACCGAAGCGATTTCGTTGATGTGGTGGTCCGCGAGTGCGATGGTCTCGTCGGTGCACTGAAAGAGTCTGTTGATGCTATGGTAAGCTATTTTGCCAAGACCAGACGCCCCTCTGAAGTCGAGCTTATGGAGTACCATTTGTCCACGGAATTTCTTGAGCAAGTGACGCAGCGTTTTGGAGGTAGCGATGCACCCCATATCAGCGTACAGAAGCGGGAATTTCTGGCTAAGTGTCTCGCCATGTCTCCAAATCCTGTGTCGCTGGTTGCCCAGCAGAACATCGAATGTATCGAGGAACTAAAAAAGTATGGAGTTCTTGTCCAAGAACATGACAAAGTTGTGCGATTCTCTTCTCCGTTGGTGTAT